CATGAAGATGTTCTATTACTTTAAATCAAGATCTTCCCAGGTTTGGATTGTTGAGTAATGTCCGCATTTGTCTCGTTGCTGTTTTCTATTGAATATAGGTCTGTCTTGCCTCATTCAGAATAATTTTGAAGAAATTTCAAGCAAATATTATTATAGCTGATGGTCATGTAGATTTGGTGTACCAAGAAGAATGAATCATTTTGAGAATCCACCAATTGTCTGGCATTATAGGACAAAGATGGTGGGATAATTGAACTGAACCCTTTAACGCTCAGTGAAAAAGAGATGTCATTCTCTGTTCAGTTTAATCAGTGAAAGATTGTAAGAACGAATGTAGTTTGTGAATTTGATGTATTTCTTTAATAAATGCAACACAGTCATATATGTCAGCTTAATTAAATTCGTCAATTGGCTTCTTCATTAACTTAAGTTGCTTATCAGCTATGAATCAATGGTCTGTTCGAGTTATCTTGTACGTTTAATGATGGCTTGCGCGATTTCGCGCCCATGCCTGTAAAAGAAAATGCTTCGCAGGCGTTTTGAACGGGGAACAACGGACGGAGTACAACAAACTCTTAGGTCGTGTATGTGGTCGAAAAACAAATGCAGCCGAAAATTATAGGAATTAAGCAAGCATAGGACAGAAAACAAGGCACTGCAACTTACAGTAAGCGCGATTGTCACCTCAATGACGATGTCATGTATGTACATAGAGGGCTGTGTTATTCAATCAAATATTTTAATTGCTGGCCGTCTAGGCTGCATGATGGATGTAGTTCTTGCTCAAGTTTTTCGCTTTGTTATTTATTTTAATTATGCATGAGACATCGTTGAGATTTGCGATTGATTTTACGTGAGGCTTCTTGTTTCAGTCATTAGCTTGCTCTATGAAAATATGTCATTAAACTATTTTGAGGATTCATAACAGCAGCCTCCGGAAACCACACTTCAGGGAAACACTATCTAAATTATCATCGACAGTAATAACAAAGGATACTAAGGCTAACAAAAGAATAATACGGCAAATTCTGGACTACTTTAGTTCTTCATTGTGAATAAAATTTCATTCTGTAAAAATACAATATGACAGATTAAGGGATGAAAATTTCGGATTGGAGTTGAAAAAGTGGAAACAGCTATAAACGCATAAGCAGCTCTGCTCATGTCCTTAGCTGCAGCAGGTCATGCATCATGTGCCATGATAAGGTATAGTGATCTTCACGCCGTCTTTAGCTAACACAGCACTAGGAGGTTAAATGGATACTTACTAAGACTTTGTGTCAGAGGTATCACTGACAGCGAGAATTGCATTATGCTGTGCATTCAAGTAGCCTGTGGATAATCAGCTCACTTAAAGCAAACCTGAAAACGAACGAAAGGAATATAAAAGCAAAAGTCAGCTGTGCCCCAGACATGCCCATTCTTACGTAATGACTAAGAAGGTTTTGAGCTAACCTGTCGTAGAATGAACTTAAACTTACTTTACGTTTACAGTTCGGTTTTCAACGTCTCCTGCTTCTTGCTGCCGTCATCATACTGATCCAACTGCTTCTCATCCATGAGCTTCAACTTCAACAAGACTTCTTTCATTGATTTTATAACTGAAAACAAATATTTTAAGAGGCATTCGAAAATCTTATACCTAATGAACGGTCAATCATATTGTTACTAATTAAAATCAAAGACACAGCAGGGGTTATAAAAATTAAGTTCCAAAGAGCACAGTAACAAAGCAGTGACGTAACCTTTGAAAGTTAAAAGTAATCAGTATCAGTGCTATTTTACTTGAAACCTGAACGAAGACTGTGCTCCTCAGCACTTATGAGCCTGTGAGTTTGAGTGTCGGTGCGTGGAAATGAGCCAGGAAAATGTATGTTCTCGCGATCATATTTTTTTTGAATCGCGGTGGCAAAATTAGATGCTTCTCGTCAACAGCATCATATTCAAGGTTGAGTCACAAACCACATGAAAAATGCTGCAAGAAATACAGGGTTAATTTGGAACCAAACCACTGAAGACTCTGCTTTCTCAGTTTCCGTATAAGTACATTGGACGCTTAATAAAAACAGCGCCTTGTTTTTTCATATTCCGTTGAGTTCGAAAGCAGTAAGTGTGTCAATGAAATTATTAAGGCTAGTGTACTCTTGTTCAGATTTTTATAGACGTCAAGCAGAATACGACTTCAGTTGAATAAGAATTAAACGTTAAACTAAAATAGGTGGGAATAAATGCAAATCCTGAAGTCCAAGGCGTAGTCTTGACCCATTGGAAGTTGCTTTACAGAGCACGACACTTTTACTGTTACCCAAGTGTTTCGCAAGTGGTTCAGTCGTCCAACATATCGTAGGATCCGTTTGTCAGACATCAACACACCCAACACGGAGCTTCCAGCGTTTCACCGATTCTTGTTTCTCCCTGATGATTATCGTAATTTTCCGTGACAAACGTATGAAACTGGTAAACATTACTCTCATTAATTTCTCAGTTGTAGTACTGTCGCGTGACCGCAAGACTTTCGTTTCCCAACCTTTTTCATTCATGTCATGCCTGAAGCATCGTCGCAATCTTCCGGACCTTCAGCCACTCTTCAGAGAATAGACTCGAGGATAAAAAAATGTTATCACATTTTTTGAAACTGATGCGGAAGGTGGGCCGTAATCTTACTCGAGACTCAATGACTTAAAATCTACTCTTAATTTCATGAAACTCGTTAATAACTTTACAATACCATTATTGACCAATACTTTAGTGATCGTGAGAATGTTAACGTTAACAGTGAGTTGTCTAGGCAGCGTAGTCATTCTTTAAATCACGCATAATTGTAAAGGTATGTTACTGTTTGCATTGTAACGGTTAGTCATGATCGTGACCGGACGGAAAGCAATTTATCAGTTGTATTTTGCTTATGCACACGAGTAATTTTTTTTAATTTACTGACGAAGCTGAATTCACAAATTTCATAACCAAAATAATAGCAATAATCATAATCATAGAAAGTTAGTCAGCGAACGTATGGCACTTAATTCTTGAAAAGCATTCAACTTACTTGGAGTAGGATTTGTATAGTAATGTGAGTATTTTTCAAAGCTTTCTGTTGGATTCTTGATGTAGTCCATTACATTACCATCCAGATCTAAAAGAAATGCAAACAGGTATAAATAATTGATGTATCAATAAATGACGACTTGATTAATTGGCAATCAATCGCTTAATTAAACTCGCGGTCAAGCCGGTGCTGTTGAATAATGAGAAAGCCGCTAACGTGGCATGGTACCGCCTGTCCAGAAAAATCGTTAAACGCTTAAAATATGGTAAAGTTTAATAAACTTAATCTTATTTCACGTCAAAACAAAGGATGATATCTTTGATGTGTAAGATAATAAACCTCAACATAAACGTACCTGGTTATTTGAATCAGGCAAGCTCTAAACGATACCATGATCCAGTACATAACACTGCAAGCCATCAGATGTCTCAGAATTCTTGACATAGTCATAACTTTGCTATTCATCAAAACGATACGATGCGATCAATACGATCAAACATGACCAGGAAGCAGACATTGAATCAGCATAGAACGTGTGGTGAATACTGCCAGCTCAGCAACTACTACTAGGTTACTTTAAGCTGTTCTTCAAGATTATCCGATTCTGTTTTTTATTAATTAATTCGATTCCTTCTTCTCCATAGAAAATGTAAGACAAATACGATTTTATACTGTATTTTACTATAATACATTTCGTTGTGATATGACCCGTTTAAAAATAAACAATTATACTCTTATTATACAGCTATTTTCATAAACCTCACACCAGTATTGCAGATTTTCTATTGAAGTGCTCGTTTGCAATACGGGAGATAAGAATAACCATTGCCTGTTACGCCGTTCCCTTGCATCTTTCATCTGCTGATGTCTGTAGTTGTGCCGCAACCGAATGTTTAATACCAAACCTGAATATCTCATATATTTCTCACGTCATTAATCGGAAGGTTAGGGTAGAAATAGGATACATTTATCATAATTTTTGCATGCATTTTTAACCGCTTTGAAATGAATTATTATTAGGAACTTACCAATAAACAAAATCCTTGGAATATATCCTCCATCAGGTTTGTATTTCTCTTCCCATGGTTCTTCGTCGTCCTAAAGCTCACTCATTATAATCCTCGAAGTCGTTCACAAATTTACAACAACAGTCAAAAATCTGGTCACTCACCTGTGTATTGACCATTATGAAATGCTTGCTGATTTCGACAAGCTTTTTCGCCTTGCTGAACTTCGGTTTTAGTTGCTGACATGCGGGACACCAAGTTTTATGGATTAGCAGAAACATTGGCTTTTTCCTAAATATGTCTGTAAACATGGCTGGATGGTAGGAACTTTTTTTGTTATGAACATAAAATTTATTGCTAGCAGACAATGAACGCATCAAACGAAAATATTGTGTATTGTCAAGCAATATTAGCGTGATTGTAGAGAATATTCGCAATAGTCAGTTTAAATTGATATTTCACATGATTGCATGCAAATTTTAACTCAAGAAAGACGACGGTATATATTGCTGCTTCTTCAATCAAAATTTTCATGGTTTGTTATTATCAGCTTAAATAATTAAAGCGCCTGTAGTATTTTCGTGACAATATAGATTATTCCTCTTTTTTCACCTCTGCTGAAATGCCTAATGACTTGGAGTTCAACTTTTTAAAAATGGCTGCGCATAAAAAAAGTTGTTTGACCAAAAGGCAAAACTTTTTGTATCGAATCCGGGTTGAACGTTGGAATGACACGTTGTTCATCAGAGATCAACGGGCAATTAATCAAAAGGTGAATCGGCCAAAAGGCAAAGGGAACAGCCGTAGGTTATCACAGACACAGCCACGGAGAAGCAAGAAAAACGCAATCAACTTGTGCCCATAGGTTTGCCTTAACAAAATGAAATCTCCTCTTATTCTGACATTCTGTAACGAAGCAATTATACAAACCTGGAGTAGCACTCGAAGGAAATTGTTTTCTCAAAATTGTTTTAAGGAAATGCCAGAAATAAAAGATTAATTGGATCTGAACTTCTGGTATCGTTTTCCTCTTCTGTAAAAACGCTCTCAAATAGGGTTTGACGTAGGTCTAGTGTGACATTGATCTGTATTTCGATCTAATTCGTCGTGAATGTTTTAGTTTCATCAGGAAAATATTTGCCTTTGTGCTGTGAACAGAAGCTATGAACTCTTGTTTGTCTTTTATGCAATAATTTGGGTTAATCATCTCAGAAGGATGAAACTTTAGTGACTCAGGCCAAGACTCAATTCCTCCAATTTTCGATCGCCATATCCGGCCGCCAATGGCAACAGGAATCATGCCACTCGACTAACCAAATCTACTTTCTAGCACATTCTTGGAAAGAATGAACAATACACTAGGTAAGCATGATTTCGCGGTGAGAACCTACAATGTTTCTAGAGCCTACATCTACAGTTTGAGATGGTAGTGCAGCCAGCCATTCGTCAATGACATCTGTTCATGACCGAAAAATCATTTTGTGCTTCCCTACTGATTCCGTTGGGCTGGATGGCGTTGTCCATAGTTCACGAGAGATGACCTTAGAATGGAGTGCCGAACAGCCATCCATCAAAGAACGTTCGAGAAAATAACTGCTGATTACCGAGTGGATCGGAAGAATAGGTACATTGGTGAATTCCGGAATGTGATTAATCCATGGCAAGCAGCAGAGTAGAGAGAAGAATATTAATAAGATTGGAGGAACGCCGAATATGTTTCTTGATGCATCCATAACAAAGGCAGATCGCGTGAAAGATGAGATGAAGTAAGTGAAGTGACTTTAACAAAAGTTAAATGCCGTCTAGGAGACGAAGTGTCAAAAGTGCGATAGGATTTATAAAAGT